AACGGCACTGCCTGCTGGCGTTTGGGGGCGAGGGTGAAGGGGAGAATGAGGCTGAAGACACATCAGGACCCAAAGGCGATGTCCAGTCAGAACAGGAGTGGCCTTGGAGGAGGGGGAGGGGCTTCAGGAGAAGATGTAACTATGGCGGAAGGAACAGGGGCACAGAACCAGCGGCGGGTGGCACAGCGGGAATTTAAACTCAGGCCTGACTCCAGCTCAGGCCTCTTTCTGCCCTCGGATGCTCTATGATTCCATATGCTCCTTCTTCTGAGTACTAGATGTTCTACAAGTTTAGGAAAGGGGGGAATTCAATCTGAATTTATATGGGAAAAAAGAGACATCAGCCAGGGCTGGGAGGGAAAGTGGAGAGGGCCGAGGGCGTGAAACAGTGATGCTGAGAGCTGGCAAGGACGCAGCCACCAGACTGAGGAGCAATGACCGGGAAAACACTCCGCGGCCAAGGATCCAGGGCCCCACGCCGCTGACCACCGGGTGACAGCGATTCCAGGGCCCCGGGCGGGGTGTCCCAGCCTGAAGCTGGCTGCTGTCCCAGCAGAGGGGGCGGAAGCCTGTCTTCCCATGGCTGGGATCCGGCCTGGGGGAGGCATCAGTAATCTGACTTGCCATATTTAATCCTCACGGCAGCAGCCATCTGTTTCCTGCCGGCCCGGGTGCTCCGAGAGGATGAGAAAGTCCAGAGCAGGTCCTCCCTGCACGGCCTCCAGCTCCCCGACAGCGGCCAGCTCACACCCCGCCAGTCACCCCCGCGGGCACCCCCACGTCCACTGGGTCTGCTGACCCATCCCTGCCGTGCCTCTCCCACCCTCCACCCTCCGGGGAGAACAGCTAATCTACGCGTCAGATCTGTGCGGGATGCGTGACTCAGTCCGAAGCCACGTGTGTCTCCCGGGAACATCACCTGCCCTCCGATTCAGCGTTAAACACGACGGCACCTTCCCCACACACAAGACTTTGCCTCTCAGAACGGCCCCTCTGACTGCTCACACCCGCTATGCGCTGTGTGTTTTTTAAGAGCGGTGGCTCCATCCATGCTTGGCTTGGCCAGGTTGTGTGAAGCGGTAACAGCGCAGGTTTCCTTTCTTTCTGGGAAGACACAATAGATTCCGCCATCGGAGATGCGTCTTCCTTCCGCTTCCACAGATTGCAAAGAGAAAACACTGGATCAAAACAGCTTTTTTTTTTTTTTTGGCTAGGTATGCAAAACTGAAAAGAAAAAAAAAAGCAAGCAAAACCAAACCAGAGATCCTCAATGATCCCCTCCACACCTCCGCCCTGGATTTCCGTGGGAGGCTTGCTCACCCCTGGAGCGTGGGAAGAGCATGGGCAAACCATGGAAATGGCGATTTGGAGAATAAGGTGCAATATAAAGGCTGAATGAGAGCCAGGTCTTTGGCCTGTTATGTTCACCACCGTATTCCTCAGTATTCCTCATCTCTAGGATGGTACTCAGTAAATTTTTGATGAATGAATGAATGAAAGGAAGCTACAGAGCAAAGCAAGTGCTGGGAGGGTCTCCTTACAGAGTCTCACAGAGCTGTTCGAGAGCTGCAGGCTGAGGTTCATTGGTGAGTCATGAAATCAAGTCTAGTTTGACCAGCACTGTTTTTCGCTTTTAAATAAATTTTTTTATTGATTTTCTAGAGAGAAGAAGGGAAAGGCAGTGAGAGAGAAACCTCCATCCGCTGAGCCTGTAACCTGGGCATGGGCCCTGACCCTCAACCAAACCCGCAACCTTTTGGCCCACAGGACGGCACCCAACCAGTGGACCCTCAGGGCAGGGAGGGCTGACCTTCGCTGCTAATGAAAACTGGGATGGACCAAATAGGAAATCCCTTAGTAAGGGGAATAGTTCAGGTACACACCCAGGATTGCAATGTAAAATACACTTCTTATTGGCTAAAAAAAAAAAATGCCCGGAGGAACTGTGTTTGCCTGGGGCTGTTCAGGCAGATTCCCGGCTCCGAGGCAAGGCTTCCGGGGCAGAATCTCAGGAATTCTGCACTTTGAACGCGGTTCCTTGGGGATATCAGTGTTCTCTAAACTCGGGAGGCTCCGGTCTGAGAAACCGGTGTGGGGTCTGGAATCTCAAGCAGTTTAATCGCCGAGGGAGAGCGGATCAACAAATTAGTTCAACCGCGTTTTCCTGCATCCTGTTTGGAGGGAGGAGGGGGAGGCGGGAAGAAAGGGCCCCGGACAGGCATTTAATGCCCACAAAGGAAACGCAGTTGTCCTCCCTCTGCCCATGAATGACCTCACTGCTGGCCATTTCCTCCTCCTTCCTTCCACCCGCTCCCCCCGAGGGCCAATCAGAGCCGTCCTGGGACAGGCTGGCCACTCGGTCTTTATCTTCCCAGGCAGACAGATAAAGAGGTTTCGGCTGCCAGATGTGCGCCAGGCCGGGGGCCTGCAGAGAGACTGCTGAGCGCAGCACCAGGAAAAGCTCACAGGCCAGGCTACTGGCATCGGATCTCCGAGGAAAGCAGGTGCGGCCGCTGCACCCTAATCCTGGCAGAGCCGCCAGCCACCTGTCCCGACAACTGCACGCAAAACTCCCAGGAATGAGGATTTCGGGGCGCGGGAGGCCCATTGGGACCCTCCTCGCCAGCTGCCCCTCATCCCACGGCAGTGACCTCACCGCCCCACACCAACGAACCAGTCTGTTCTGCGTGCAGATCCAACGGGGCAGTGGGTCCTACTGCTTCCCTCCCCTCTGCCCCTCTCCTCCCTTCAGACCTATCTATCTGAAGTCCCATGGGACCATCCAGTCCTCCTCTGGCCTCCTACACACCGGGTGGCTGGCTCCCGCCTCTTGCTGTGAGCTCCTCTTCTCGTGTACTGTCTCTGCTCCTCAACTTGACTTTCAGTTGCCTAGCAGACAGCACCCGCCCCTTCACCCTGTCCAGTCTCCAGAGTGCCTCGCTTAGAAACAAGAAGTCTTTCAGCCCTGGCTGGTGTGGCTCAGTGGATAGAGCATGATCCTGTGGACTGAAGGGTTCCAGGTTCGATTCCGGTCAAGAGCACATGCCTGGGTTGCGGACTTGATCTCCAGTAGGGGGCGTGCAGGAGGCAGCCGATCCATGATTCCTATCATTGATGTTTCTATCTCTCTCTCTCCACATTCGGGTGGTCAAGCACCAACTTGCTAGTGCGGTGTGCCACGCAGTGCCCTTCAATTCTGCAGGGAAAGAGCCCTGCACGAGCAGGGTCAGACCAACAGCCTTAAGGACAGAGAAAAGGTGAGGCAGCTTCCTGCAGGGCTCACTTACTGAGCGCTGCGTGCAGGCAGCATGCTAACAGCGCCACAGGCACTGTTTCCCTTGGCCTTCACAGCGACCTAGGAAGTGGGCATCATTTCTCCATTTCCCAAGGAAACCAACAGCCCCAATAACTCCCTAAGGTTGAGAACAGCAAGACAGATTGAAACCCAGACTTGTCTGATTCGCCATAACCACTGACTGCCTTTCTAATTCAGCTCCTACTATAGATTCCCAGGCCATAATTTCAAGATTCTCTTCCCTAAAGAAAGGATCAAAAAGCAAAAAAACCACACCACACAACACAGATTTTTTTTCTTTTTAAAGCAAAACAAGCCAGGCCCTCTAGTCTGATGTCCCTCTACTTTCTCCTTGGCTCATCCCACACTTAGAACATGGCTTTCTTGCTGTTCCTTCAACAAACATGACACGCTTCTGCCCCAGGGTCTTTGCGCCGGTTGCTCCCTCTGCTTAGGGCTTTCTCCTCCAAGATACCTGCCTGGCACATTCCCTTCCCTCCTCTCTGCCTTTGCTTATGGCTCGCTGTCCACGTGAGGCTTTCCATCAATACCCTGTTTAAAACTGTCGTCCACCTCCCTACCCCAGGGTTTCCACTCCCTCTTGGCTTGTTCAAAGTTGGTGTTTTATTTGTTTGTTTGTTTTCAGCCACAGCCCTTCTTACTAACACACGACATATCCTATTTATTATGTCCTTTGTGCCCTTTCTCTAGAACAGAAGCTCCATGAGCATAGGAATATTTACATTTTTGTTCACTGCTGCTTTCCCAGCACCTAGGAGAATGAATGCCAAGCAGAGAGTATGTGCTCAGCAAACAGTGCCGCATTAAGATCTGGGATGATTTACTAGCAGGGAAAACCGGATCACCCGGGCCAGTGCGCTATGGATGGGAGTCCTCTGGCGGCTCTGATCCACTGTGGGAGGCTCTGTCACCTGCTTACCAGCGGGAGTGGGAAGCTATGAAGAGGATAGTTCTACATTTCAGTCAGGCCAGCCTAGCTCTGGGGATGGATCTGGGGCGGAAAAGGCTGGAATAATGAGGCCATTCCAGTATTCAGTGGAGAGAAGATGAGAGCTTGAGAAACACTTAGGAGACAGGAAGGAAAGAGTCAGTCATTGGCTGGGGGGTGGCGGGAATGGGACTGGCCTTTGGGTCTTCGGGCTATGTGACTGAATTGTAATTCATAATGGAGACAGACCACGAGACAAAAAGCCCATTTGGGAGTGGGCCTGGTTAAGTCTCCGCCACTTAGTTTAACATCCACTTTAGCAATCCTAGGAGAAATCACTAATGTGATTATGGCGGAGAGCTCAACCAGGGGCATAACACAGCAGAATACAATTAAAAAAAAAAAAAAAAAAGTCTGACAATAAGATCATCGCGTTTGTTCCCATTTATCAGTGGCACCGAGCTGGCCCTGGATCGGTCAGAACCGAGCTGGCCCTGGATCGGTAGAGAAAAAAAGGCAGGGATGTCTTCTCATGGGTTAAACTTTCCCATGGTTAAAAAATCAATCGAGCACCAGGAGATCTCTACCTGCCAAGATTCCCATACACTCCATTGACAATGAGTTATTCTCTTTGGAAAATAACCTCAGAATTAGGTGTTTTTAAAAGGGCCCCATCCTAAAGACCCCAGAACAAAGGTTCGCCAGCAAAACAGCTCACCTCAGCCCTTCCGTGACTGACACATCCTCACTCCTTACCTGGAAAGTTCTCTCGATTCAGCCTGGGCCTGCGGATGATCACAAAGTCCTTGTCATTCCCTTTGCTCCGCAGCCGCTTCCTGGGGGAGCCCTGCGGGTGGCCCAGGGTGGAGAGCAGCTCCTGGGGGATGTTCTCGCTGTCCGCGCGCTCCTTCTCCAGCGAGGAGACCCCCATGCCTGACAGCAGCTCCGAGGTCTTGTTAGAATCCCATCCCCAAGTGAAGTTGGTGGCCACGTTGCTCGACTGGTCAGGGATCTCCTGGAGGTGTTTCCTGCACACACACAAAAAAAAGCACAATAGCCCCTTTCCTTCAAGAACACGCCCATCAATAATCGGTAGGCCTAAAGGAAAAGGCAAGTTATGCAATGTAGTCATGCAGCTCACAGAACTGCATTTTTCACATGCCAGCGGCCAGTTCCCAAGAATGAAAGAGAGAAAAAAAACCAAAAACCTGAGCAAATCAAAAAGGCTTTCTGATTCACGATTCTGATCATGCAAAAGGCCTTCAAGAGTTTCTCAAAGTGGAGGGAAACCATCAGCCATTCAAATTATGAGCAGGAAAGCCCAAATACAGAAAGACAAATAAAACCACACACGGATCCCCTCACTAAGCATCCATCCATCCATCCATCCATCCACCCACCCACCCACCCATCCAGCCCTCCATCCACGCTTTTCCCCAAGAAGGGGCTGGGAAGCCATCCCCATCACAGCACTCGCGACAACCTTAGCAACCAGCAACTCGCGTGGCCTAAATGAATTAAGACGGTCCATTCAAGCTTGCCCCTCTTTGTAGTCGGTTTACCGGTGCATGGCTGGGGCCGCGGATTCCGGGCTTTAAAGCGTGTGCACGGATGGCAGCCTTTGCCCGCCTCCCGGGTTCCCGCGTCGGAGGCGCAGCGGGCCGAGGCGTGAGGCTGCTGCCGCCTGGAGCGCGACCCGCCAAACTAGCAACGTTCCATCCCCGCCGCGCGCGCGGGGCGCCCCAGCCGCCGCTGGGCGGCCGCCGTCCGCGGCCCCGCTGCCTGCTGGGAGTTGTAGTTCCCGCCCCGCCTCGGCGCCCGGCGAGGAGCGCGCCGCCACTTCCGGCCCTGGCAGCGCCGCCAGCCCTCCAGGTACCCACAAGCCCCCGCGGCCGCGGGGCGGGCCACGCCCCCCGGGGAGGCGGGGAGGGAGGCGGGGAGGGAGGCGGGGAGGCGGAAGCGGGCGGCGCTCCGATGACTCGGACATGTCAGCCGCCTGAAGCGGGGGTCGGGCTTCCCTTTCCCAGGAGCCCGCAGGCCTTCGGGTGACCGCCGCCGCCGCCGTCCCCGGAGCCTGGGTCCCCGACGCTGGACGGCGGAGGCGGGGTGCCCGGGCCTTCCAGACGCTGTCTGCCTGGCGCGGTCGGACGGTGAGCCCTTGGGGAGCCCGGGGCGGGGGGCCGGGCGCCGGCGGAGGCGGACAGGCCCGCGCCCCCGCCCCCGCGCGGAGGAGGCGCGGCCGGCTCGCCCGCCCGCCCGCTGAGGGGCCGCAGCCCGGGCGTCGCACCTGCTGTCCGCGCCCCGGAGCGGGCCCTTTAGGACCGGCCCTGCGGACAGATCCCGTCCGCGCCGCGCTGGCCTCCCGGGCGCCGGTGCGATGAGGAAGGACAGGCGGTGGGTTAGGGTTAGTTAGGGGAGCAGGGGCGCGGCGGGGTGCGCCGGTTCCCGTCCCCTGGCAGCCTGGACCAGGCTCAGAGCTGCAGCCCCGGAGCAGGTGCGGTGACCCGGCTTGCAAAGGGCTTTGTAGTCTGTGTGCGAGGCCAGGGCCGCCAGCAGCAGCGGCAGCAGCAGCGGCAGCAGCAGCGGCAGCAGCAGCAGCGGCAGCAGCAGCGGCAGCGGCGGCAGCAGCAGAGCCGTGCTGTGGCCTCCGCCCCACCTGCTGCCTCTGGGTGCACCGCCGCCTGAAGGGGCTGCTACCAGACTTGCAGCCTGTGTCCCCCGAGCAGAGTGTGGAGGCGGTGGGAGGAGGGAGCGTGCCCTGTTCCAGGTGGCGTGACCGTGCGAAAGCCATCGTGCAAGCTCCTCTGTGGCCGTGACCCCGGGAAGCAAGGGGAGAGGGGGAATCGGTTGCAATCCTAACAGGAAGGGAGAGCATCTACTGAGTTGCCAAGCCAGCAGGCCAGCGTCATCACAAACACGACATCCCCTGCGGTGGGACTCGGTGACTCACTTGGTGCTGGGACTCAGCCTCCCTGGCCCAGGTGTGGGCTCTGTTTCAGGCTTGTGGGCCAGCTTGACAGGGAAGTGTATTCCCGAACCTTGAGTTTGTTCTGGAAAGCAGGAGCCACCGTGTAAACAAGGGATCTGTTCGCACAGCACATCGATTTGGATTGGAAACTGGGCTGAGAATAACCAGGCCGCATGCTCAGAATTCATTAAACTGTGGTTTTATGGGAAATGGTTTTAAATGAAGTATTCATGTGTGTGTTTTTTTGTACAAACTTACCTTTATGCTACTTTGGCTCAAGGAGAAAGCAGTTGCCTTAAGCTTGAAATCTACATCCTTTCCCTTAAAATTGCAAGTCATTAGAGAGAAAAAAAAATGTTAACAAAAAAATGATAGCCTCCTTCAGAGAAGTGAATAAGATGGAATTTATAAGCTAAAGGCGGAAAAAGAATAAACAAGAAAACACTTTAAATGCCGTGATGAGAATTAAGCATTGTTTTGACATACCAAGTATTAATAGTAGGGAGAGGCCATTTTAGATTCAGCCCTTCTAGACAGAAGGTCTCACAGATGGGATGATCCTTCATGGAAAGATGAGAAATAGGCTTGTGCTGGGAAGTGCCTGAGAGCTAGGGAGCATTTCTGGTCCTCGGAGACCTTGAAATGTCTGAATTGGTGGACATGAGATCCTAAATAGGACTTCAGAGAGGCTGTCCACTCTGAAAATCGGTCTTCAAATTCTAGAGTAGATATTTCTCTCTAGTCCTTTGCCCTGGTAACAGAAATGCTTTAGCTTGCTAAAATGGGAATACTTTTTTTTCCCTCTGCATTTCTTCTCATCATGTCTATTCTCTACAAGTGTTAAGTAACAGTTTAAATTGTTACACGTGGTTCTGTTTAGTATAAGGAATTGTATCCATTGAAGATTTGAGATTACTGCCCATGCACAGATTGATGCCTGCTGGTTTCAAGATCTGCATTGTGATTGCAACTGCTGTGGATGATTTTATTTTCCTGATTAACTTTATTCCTGTAATCTTATTCAATACACCTGTCATCCCACTTCAGGGAGCTAGCTGTCCCATCTTTCCACAAGTAGAATTACTAGATCATTGTCTAGATCAAATGAATTATAGTTTTCTCTGACATCTGAAAATGACATTGGAGCGAGTAACTTCTGATCCTCTTCAGAAGCTTCCGATAGAATGCAAAGTGACTTTGTACATTGGGAACGTGCTTATCTTGCAAAGAGGGAAGAACACAATTACAAGACCAGTGCACAGGGGGGCTGACAGGACTGGAAATTATCTTTGCTCTAAGATGTGCCCGTGTTCAATAGCGTAGTCGTGTTCTTGAGCATCCAGTGTGGAAAGAGATTCTATTGAAATGGAAGGCTGGTTCTTTTCTCCTTAGCCCCATCACAGCATGAGGTGAGTCTTAAGATTCTTTTTTTTTTTTTTTTTTTTTTTTTTTTACTGTTCTTTAGCTCAGAGGAAACAAAAGAATAAGAAGGGTTATTTTCCAATTTAATTTGTTCTATGTTTTCTTTTCTCCTTTCTCATGAGGATTAGAGTTATATATTTTCCTTAAGTAATGGCAGTCTTACCTGCGAGGAAAAAGGCTTCGTTGAATTCTATATTAAACATGGCTTTCTTAGCGTACTACCTTGACATATCCAAGGGGATCATTCATAGGGAATGTCTGTAATTTGTTCATTATGAAAACTGAGCAAAATGCATTATTTAAATAGTTTAAATGGCGTGAAGAAGGCATGTCTGGACTGGGGAAGAGAGTGGGTAGGATCTGTAGTCGGAATGCCTGGGTTTGAGCCCCAGCTCTGCCTCCCTGCCATTTTTCTCCTTTATTACACGAGGATACGAACATCCTTTCTTACTGAGTTGTCTGAACACACTAAATGTTAACTCTTCCTTTTTCAAAGAGAATTTATTTTGTTATTAGGAAGAATCCTAGGATCATTCATTCTTTAATGATCAAAGTAAGTCCTACAGTCTCTTTAATGAAAGTCTTTAGGAATCCATTCCAGTCCCTTTTGCCTTCTTCTTACAAGCTCACCATGCCAAAGGTGACTCGGTCTCTCCCTTAGGCCTTGCCAAAGGTGACTCGGTTTCTCTGAGTCCATCTGTCTTCCGGTGGCTGGCATACTTTGGAGTTCAATTCACCTGGTTGGTTTTCCCAACTCAGTTGCAACTCTTTCACAGTTTACAGTGGGGGTGACATTCTATCTGAATTCTAAGCTGAATTCTCCCTACACCTGGAACCTTTAAACATGAGAACCTTTGCAAATGAAACCTTTGATTGGGGGTAGAGAATTGTGACTTGCATCACTCACTCCTCGTTCTAGTTCCTTTTCATTATTGGGGTCTTGAGGTGGCTGCCACTTACTTCCCACAGCTGAGTAGAGATGCATATTTAAGGTTACACAGTCTGATTGTGATGAATCCTTAGGTTCTAGTTGGAAATTTTTCACTCAGTTTTAGAATCTTAAGATTTTGATAAAAGTTTTGTGTTAAATTGCTACCAGTCCTCCTTCCCTCCTTTCCCTTCTTTCTTTCCTCCCTCCTTCTTTTCCTCCCTCCCTCCCTTCCTTTCCTTATCTCTCTCTTTTTCTTTTCTTTTTTTCTTTTTTTTTTTTTTTTAATATTTGGAATGCTTCAAATTTTAAAGTAGTCTTAACCTCTGAATGTTCCACTTAAAGTGTATTCAGCCTGAAAAATCATCTCCAACCATAAAGCACTTAAGGAGCAGCACTCCAAGTCAGTAACGTTAGCATGCTAATTATAAAAGCTATTTGAAAGAAATACTGTACAGTGTCTTGGTTGGTAAGAGACTGATTTGGATTTTAAATGTTGAAGACTTTCAGAACTGGTAATTTGAAAGATAAACTGTGCCTACATATCAGGCACTTAAATTTGATTGAATGAATGGATTAGCATTTTGAGTTTGAGTAAAATCTGCTTTTGCTGCTGTAGTGTTAATGCCATCCTATGACAGCCTTAAGTATCTTTTCTTTATTTCTTTTTTTTTTTAATATATTTTATTGATTTTATACAGAGAGGAAGGGAGAGAGATAGAGAGTTAGAAACATCGATGAGAGTCATCAATCAGCTGCCTCTTGCACACCCCCTACTGGGGATGTGCCCGCAACCAAGGTACATGCCCTTGACCGGAATCGAACCCGGGACCTTTCGGTCCCCAAGCCGACGCTCTATACATTGAGCCAAACCAGTTTCGGCTCTTTTCTTTATTTCTAATCACATGGGACTGAATTGGGATTTGCCTCCACATTCGAGCATTTTCTTTTCTTTTTGCCATTTTCATTATATTCATTAATACGAGGAGGACCAATTTTGTGGTTGGAGGCCTATTTCGTCTTCTGCCTTTGAGTTTATTTTTGCACAGCCGCGCCTGTGTACAGTTCAGCAGATGGTCCACGTTGACCTATTCTGTTTTGCGCATATTCCTAAAGAATGGCATTGTCTTTCCCCGTGACATCGGCGTACATGCACCTGCTTGACGTGGCTCTGAGAGGCGGTCCCAGGCAGGGGTGTTGGGGCTGCCTCGCAGACCTGGGGGCGTACTCCCAGTTTGCCATGTGAGGGAAG